GTCAGTGAAGAATGGGCGCGTGGAGCTGGAGCGAGTCCACGGCGATCACGAAGCCGGGAAGGTCGAGATAGCGAAGTCGTGTTGCGCCTCTAGGACGGTAGTGTGGGCGGGCGGACGCGGAGCTGGGAGGCTGTGGGAGGGGAAGCGCACACGTGAAGCTGCATTGCGCGTAGGTGACAGATCGTTCGTGCGGTGGGGCGCCCCGCCAATCTATCATGCGGCCGGGGAGACGCCCTGCTGCGATTTCGGCCGCGACACAACCACAAGAGGCGCGGCGGTGCTGCGAGGAAGAGCCCTGGTGGTGGAACTCTTGCCTCGGCCGTTTAAGGCGGGGCAGCACGCCGGGGTCGTTGTGGTGATGAAGGAAGGTATTGCTTTCTACGTCGACAGGGCAGCGAAAGGGTGTTGTGCAAAATGACCAACCAATTAGGAAAGTATCTGAACGTCAGAGGATTGAGTCATTAAAACTATGTTAATGAGTAAATGGAATGCCAAAAATTAATTTGCAATATTAATTTAATGTGCATAATTTTGATGATCGTAAATGATTCGAAGAGAATTGTTGTGGGTTGAGAACAATTCCCATATGCGGTTAGAGAATGGTTAACGCACCTTTGGAAGTCGCTTAGGGGGCGATGATGCGAGACCCCTCTCAAAGGAAGTGAAGGGCGGAGCCGGCCGCGGGCCCGGGGCGCTCGGGTGAGGTAGCGCTGCTGGATGCGTCTGACAGCGGCGGCGTTGGTGAGGCGGGGGCGGGGCGGGGCGGGGCGCGGTGGCCGCGCGCAGCTGCGCTCTATGCGCCAGCTGACGCCCTCGCGCCCCCAAGAGCAGGGGGTGGTTCGCGCACTTGCGCTCGCCTCGCCCCACCTTCGCCCCCCCCCCTCGCTCTTTGCCCTCACCCTCGGTCCTCGTCCTCGTCCTTGCCCTTCGTCCCAACCGCCTCCGCACTGCACTGCACCCATTCTGTGCTTGCCGCTCCTCACTATCATAACAGTTACCTCACATCTCCGTGTTAGTCATCTCTACCCCTCGCAGCGCTGACTCCAGCACCTCTCACCGGCCACCCAAACACCGGCCGCCACCACCGCCCGCCACGCCGCCACGCCGCCGCCGCCGCCGCGCCGCACGCCGCCGCCACCGCCACCGCCACCATCCCCCATCCCCCATCCCTTTACCTTTGCCGTTCCCTTACCACATCCCCGCCCGCATCCCCTTACCTTTGCCGTTCCCTTACCCCCACCCTCCCCTTCTCACCTCTTCCTCACAGGTCTTCGGTCATCGTCTCCAACGGACCGTCACCGCCACCCGATGCACGTCGTTCCGAACGGTCCTCCACCCCCACTCCAAGCTGCCCGTCACGACGGATGCAGCTGGGGCGGTGCAGCGGAGACGCCTTCGAATTGGCCTCTCCCTCCGTCGTCGCCCGCTGGGCGCGGAGGAGGACGACGAGAACCAGGAGGAGAAAAGCGGGGTGAAAGACAATGAGGAAAAAGGGAGAGGAAATAGTGAAGGGGAACAGAACGAACACGTAAAAGAGGGGGAGAGTAATAAAAGCGAGGATGGAAAGGGGGGGTTAAAAACGAGGAGAACGAGCTGAGACGGGTGGAGAAAAATGAGAACGATTGGAAACGTGGAAGGAACGAGTTGAATGAGGGGAGGCAAATGTGGAGAATGAGGAGGGGAAGCGATAATGGAAACGAGAAGGAAGAGGAAGGAGGTGGAATTCGAAGAGGTGGAGGACGAGGAGGCAGGAAGAGCAACGACCGCGAGACGGGGAGCGCTGCTGCGACGCGGCGCCTTCGCACGCGGCGCTCGAGGAAACCAAACGCTCCCGACGCCCAGGCGCCTCGGCGCAGCGGCGGTGGTCACGTGGGGCAGTGGACTTCCGTGTGCTTGACCGCGAGGCCTGACACTCCTTCGAGAACGATCACCGGCTTCCGGAGTGCTCTACGCAGAAGCTAATGACGAATTCTCTGGCTTTGTAATTTATACCGTTTTGTAAGCTTTTGGGTTTTTGTTCGCATGAACTGCATGCTCGTTAGCAAGATTCAATTCTTTACGATGCATGAAATAAATTTACATCTTTTTGAAATTTCAAAACGTTATATACTTGATGTTTCAGTGAGTAATTTGTGGAGATAATTTCTAAGTGAATGTGTAATACGTCTGTCTGAAGACACTTGGCAATCTATTAAAATATTTGGATGGTTATGAAGATGTTGTTCTGGAACAGATGTGAGTTGAACAGGTGGCTTTTGTCGTATGCGGAATGATGGGATGCTGGGAATGAACATGGCTGCCTGTGTGACGTCGCGTTGAAATGCTGACTTTTCACCGTCCTGTCATGACCTTCTTCAGGATTGAAGTGCATGCTTGTTGTATGATTGATCAATGTAGCACGAAGTTGTAACTTAAGTAGTAGCCCGTGTACTTGCTGGTGATGTTGCTGTTACCGAAAAAAACCGCAGTTACAACGATATTGCATTTTCATGCACAGAACAGATGGCGTTGAAAAATAAATTTCGGCAGTATGAGCGATTGAATTAAGCTAAAACGGAATAATATTATGCTTGTAATTTTTGGCTACTCTGCACTGTAATTTAATCAGATAAATTATACGATACATAAAAAGTAGGTACGTTACATTACGTAACATTTTGATCTTAACGAATTAAAACGAAATTTAAGATAGTTGAATACCTGTAGTAAAGGAAGAGATTCTGAGATTCAGTAAGATCCAAAAATACGAAATTCTCGCACAGAATCAATAAATTGCTCTTTAATTTACAGAATCGAAGGTTGGAATATCTAATTTGGGAATGATAATTATCAGTGTTCCTTGTAAGAAAGATATTTCGGAATGTTCTCTGTATCTGTATTTTTTTTAGATTTATATTTATACTGTTCTGTTATGATTTTTGTTGATAGAAATAATGCTATAGAATTTCCACAATGTTTTTTTTCGAGATGCGTTTGAATATGTTCGAATGAACACAGTCCAAGACTATAATATCTGGGTGTAACTCGTATTGATTCAGCGCATTTATTACCATTCTATTATGTTTATTCGTGTGTGTAGTGCGTGTTATTGTATGTCTCGTGAGACCACCTTCTAAGCAGAGTTGCTTTCTGTTGCAGAAACTCCCCGTGAAGTTCATCTCGCCGCACCGTATCTCCCCACTGCTCTTTCGGTGAGTCTCTGTGTGTGTTGGGAGAAGTGGGGTTTTCCGCTGAACGCATGAGCTTATAGCTATTGGGTTAAGTTAATGTGCGGTTTTCACAACTCCCGCTCGTTCTTGGTGTTAGCACCTTCTCTCTTTCGCACTTACGTGTTTTTCTTAAAACGATGACCAGTTCCTTAAAGGGTCAATGCCCGCTGGAGTGTTTATTCTACTTTGTTTTACTAATCAAAAGTTGAGCTGCGGAAATGATCATCTTACTCCAAAAAGTGTATGTATTGCAATAATTCTCCTTGTTGTGTGTAAGTATTTAATGACAGCTTAACAACAACTCGTAATTATATACTTCGCCGTAATAACAGTCTAAAGCAAAATTTGATTACTGGGTAGTCATAGATTTCACGAGCACAATAGATACTATTTTTGTAGACGTATTCAATGTCAATGCTATAAATTTGCGTTGATGTCCGTTTATCAGATAAATTAATGTAGTAGCGTTAATGATCATAATACACTGAACGCTTAAGATTATTTACCATAAAATCGGGCTCTTTTTATAGTATTTCTACCTGCAAGGAAATAGTACTTCTTTCTTCACAATACTCGTCATTACGCGACGATTTGCATTTTAATAACACGTCGATGACTGGCAGTAAAGTGACTGAGCCAAGAAGGATCGTTGTGAAGTAATAAGATTGCGCTATTGGCTTTTTATTCTCAGCATTGTCATTCTCTTCTCTATAAATAGCATAATTCAGTACAAACTGCAATGGGGAATTTTTTTCTTTGTCTCCCAACTGTACAGATTTCACGATCACAAATTCGATAATAACTTTTTTAAAATTTAAGGTCGCATTTACGTCTAGATCATTAGTGACCACTATTGCATTTATCGGTATTGTAATTGTGAAGATGACATGACATGGTGATGATAGGGGGTAAAACGACGAGCACAAATACAACTATGTCGGAGGCGGGACGCGAACCCACGAATCGGTTCGAGATCGCTGCGGCACTACTGCCTTAACAATCCCAGCCATCCGGACCGAACCGACAATTCTTTGTTGAGTTGTCTGAATCTTATTAAGTACAACAACGTGCGAAGTTTGCCGCCGTTGTAGGCGAACAAACTGGCTGTGTTACAAATAGAGAGGATTTCCAGAAACGAGATCAGTTCCCAATATATTGAAGAGTACTACAGAAAGCAAGGATGTACTTCGAAGAGAGCAGAATATTGAATTATGTTGTTGCGTTAGCCTAACACAAAATGAAGACAATAACAATTCAAAGTGAAGTAAAGAATTTGTTTTCAAACTTAGGATCCATAAAAACTTCCTTCATAAAATATTTTTCCTGTTTTGTGTTGTTTCGCCTCATTGTGAGTGTAAAAATGTCGAAGTACGCCAACAGATACAGTAAGCGGCAAAGAGATACAATGAGGAGAGAGAAGCGTTGCGACGCGACAAGTTGAAATTTTGCGCCGGAAAGAGCGGTCGTGTGATCGTGGCCTGTGCCCTTCTCGCGGCGTCGCGGCGGCGGTGGCGCTGGCTCTCTCGCCTGCCGCTTCACGCTTTGCGAATCGGATCCCGCGGGCGCCGCGCGGGCGGCGACTGGTCTAGTTTTGAAATTGGCGCAACCTCGTTCCGCTCGCTTTTTTTTTCCTCGCACGCCCAGGACTATTTTTATATTCGCCGCGTCTCCCGCTCCTTTCGGCTGTCGGGGCGCGAGGCGGGAGAGCGAGACGGCAACCCGGGGCAGAGAGGGACACGTGTTGGGGGACGGGGTGCCTCGCGTCTCCCGAGGTGATGGGCAGAGAACGAAGGAAAGAAAGAAACGGGATGATGGGAGGAAAAAACGGGCGGTATGAGGGAGAAATAAAGGTGAGATGAAAGAAATGTGTGGCAAGATCTAAGAGAAACAAAGGACATAATAATAGAGAAATACAGGGCGGAATGAGAAGTAACGGGCAAAACGAAAATTGCATGGGGGTGAGAGAGATTGAGAGACGCAGATGGAGACGAGTGGGAAATGCAGAATGGTGGTGATGTGGGCGAGGCCCTCGACCTCTCTCGCGGCCAAAGAGGAAGTCAAAATCAAGCGGCTCGGTTCCTGCCGCCTGGCCCGGCGCCACCGCGCGGCTCGCGCGCCTCATCTGTTTACATCAGAGGCGGCGGAGCGGCGCCGCCGCCGCCGCTGCTCGGGATTTGGCAGGTCGCGGGTTCACCGCCTTTCGCTTTCGATGGCAGACGCGGCGGAGGGAGGGCCGGCGTCGGAATTCGGGGCCGAGAATAACGACCTCTTTTCGGGGGCCACGCCCGCCCGCTCGCTCGCTTGCTCTTAGCGCTCGTTGTATGAAGAATGTGGCGCGACTGCGAGGTTAGTAGGGTACGGGGTTTACTGCTGCGGATGGAGTTGCAGGAAGCGAACTGTCTCTGCGAAGATCAGTTGCTTGGTTTGCGCTTAGTCAGTGTTGACAATTAGGGTGTACATCGTGCATCATGCACTTCCAAAGATATCATTTTTATATGTATTCTCTGTTCACGTAAGAAGTGGCATCGTACAGACAACTTTGTACATGTTATTAGTCATATATTAGTATTGGTTGTAATTCCGGTTTAACTACTAGTGATTTACGTGAGTACAAAAAGCAGTCGTAAAGTAGTTCACAAGTTCGTGAAAAATAGTTTTCTCGCAAAGCTTACTGGTTAAGAAATCGCTACATGCTTGCATAGAAAAAGGCATAAACAAACTCCCTTTCGAATTGACGACTTATCAGAGGGGTCTCCAACTTCTGGAGCTCTTTCTGCTAGCCGTTAACGAGGCCTTGTTACGGATTGGTGAGATTCTAATACTGCGATAGACACATTTGTGAACAGTTTGCCCTCCGTCGTCAGCATACGAAATTCAAAAGAGTTTTCAGTCCGGATCAGTGTAATGCAATATACGTACCAAAAACAAACGACTGCCTGGTCAGTTCTTCGCCAATAAGATTTTTGCCATAAAGAAAATAATTCGATAAAAGTTAAAGTTGCTTCGAAATAAGCCAAAATACTTGTGTAGATAATTTCTTTGTCTTCCAATGGAAAATGTAAATTAACAGCGTCACGGCTGGGTGGTGAAGAGGTAATGAGGAAATGAATAAGACTAGTTCGGGTTATAGAGATTCGGGATATAGAGGTTCGGGTTCTAGAGGTTCCACACTGTAGAAAAATAATATTCAATTTCAAAATGGATGCTGAGGGCGAAAGTCTTCAGCCTCCATTGTTCCATCTGCTGCTTTTTTTAACGTCCCTCCCCTCCCCTCTTCCCCCCTCCTCATCGCTTCTCCCCGCGCCGGGCCTGCGGAAGAAGGCTCGCGCTGCAAGGAACGCGCGATCGATAAGCAGATAAACGGCTTTATTAACGCGCTTAAGTTTGTTAGCATCGCGCCGCCCGCTCGTTATTTCCGCCCGGGGGCGCGTGGGCAACGCGGTTCTTCCTAATTAACTTCCCTGGTCGCCGCGCGGGGGGCAACGCGCGATCGGGGGCGAATTGTGCGCCCCCCCGTCCCGCAGACGGGCGTTCGGTGTTTAAAAATGCTATGGTTACGAGTTACGTTATTCAATGTGTGTTGCCGCAGTCAGCCACAGTATAGGAATGATTTCTTATAGAAAGATTCAACTTCGGTGTTTCTAACTTCATACTGGTGATCAAGAAAGTTAATTTCCGCACTCTTGAAATAGTTTCATTATAATTACCAAACCACATTCAAGGAAATTATACTTTTAATATCAAAGGCTTCGCTATTTTATATAGCATTCGCATACAGGAGATGTCATTTGAAATCTTGTTTTACCCGGTCCTCTAACGCTTCCTAATTGCAATCATGTGTCTTCGGAATTAATGGAGTGAGCAATTCGTGAATCGATGCAACGATAGTTGGTTCCGATTACACTACACATTTCGAGAACCTTGCGGTTGTACTCGGATCTCAGTTGTGAAAGAAATGGGATTTATAAACGCGTTTACGTTTGCTAGGAGGTGAGGGTAGGGATAACAATAAGGTTGTTTTGGAATAGCCTGCCAGTTTTCAGACTCCTCTGCCAGTGCCTCTTTCCGACAACATGATACTCGAAACCCTAAATACGCGAGCGGTCCGGAACGGAAACGCTAGACGCATGAAAGTGAGCTCGCCAACAGATGTGCGCGGGTCCGCGATCTGATTGTGCGCGCGCCTTCCACATCAGGAAAACCGCGCGCGTTCGGCCGACCGCGTCGATTTCGAGTCGCGCGATAGGCGCCGCGCTTGCATTGACAGGCCGCGTCTTTTGTCGCGTACAAAGCGCAGGTAACGAGTGGTTGGCGGCGGGTGTGGGCCGCGCGCCCCTGAGCGCCTCGCCGGAAGTCCTGGTGCGGGGGCGAAGAGGGCGTTGTATAAATAGCGGAGGGGTGCGATTCGGCACATATAGCGCTCTCTTAAAAAACTGCAAACGCTTGGGAAATCATCCTTTTCCACGCACGGCGATGGAATTTTATTTTATTTTTCTTTGCTATACGCAGTTTCTATCGCCATTGGTTGTGTAACGGATGATATGACATTTTTTATATGAACAATCGTACAAAGTATTCAATACTTCATTGTTTGTTTACGTCATGTTTTTCTAACGGTTTTTAATTATTTAGGGTGCAATTTATGACTCAAGAATGAAGAACGCTTTGTTGTGTCGTTGAACGTCATGTTAATCACGTAAACACATGCATTTCATTACGAATTAATTGGATATATCTTTCCATATATTAAATAAATGAAGTCGCCAAATTTTCAGTGATCAATTTATCAACATTTGTTTAGAATGACCAAGTAAACTATTATATGGATCTCGAGGAATGCCAATCACAGTAACTGCTACATTGCTAAAAAAAGAATTATTTTATTAACATTATTCCCCAACATTTTGGTGGCAAAATGATCATTATCGGGAATAAGACGAAGTTGTAGCTGTCATATTTGGTTGAACTTCTTTGACTAGAGT